CACTGCCGGCTCCTGATGCCAGCCTGGCCCAGCACTGGTCGCTGCAGCCACCTGCTGAACGAGACCGCAGATGGAGGACCTCCCATCCCCTCTGCACTCCACAAACACGTCAATCTTGTAAAAAAAAAAAAAAAAAAAACAGAAAGACAAGTGTACTTTGCATATATTTGGGGGCAGAATTTCTTTTGAAAGTCATGTGTGGGTTGCAGGGAGGAATCCCAGACACTACAGGATTGTACCATAAAATTCAAAATGTTTTTAGAGATTTATTTATTTTTATTGCAAAGTCAGATATATAGAGAGATGAGGAGAGACAGAGAGGAAGATCTTCCATCTGATGGTTCACTCCCCAAGCTGATCCGAAGCCAGGAGCCTGGAGCCTCTTCCGGGTCTCCCACATGGGTGCAGGGACCCAAGGCTTTATGCTTTCCTAGACCACAGCAGGGAGCTGGATGGGAAGTGGAGCTGCTGAGATTAGAACCAGCGCCCATATGGGATCGCAGACTGTACAAGGCAAGGGCTTTAGCCATTAGGCTACCACTCTGGGCCTTAAAATTAAAACTTTAAAATTAAAATAAACAAAACAAACAAAAAAGAAAAAGTCATGTGTGGGCCCGGCGCGGTGTTGACTGCTGCGGGAAGCAGCAGGTGGACGCGCTCTGTCTGCCTCCATCGAGTCGGAAACGCCATGAGCACAGGTCCCAGGGACAGACGCGAGCTTGCGGACACCGCTGGGGCCCCAGCGGCCCCCGCCACACAGCCAGCAGGCCACGGCCCCACCACGCAGCCCCACCACGTCACCCCAGCCTGCCACGAAAAACACCCAAGCACTGAGGCCAGCGCACACGCATGTGCTCACAGTACATACATGTCAACAGCATAGAGACATGTGTTCACAAGGCAGACACGCGTGTTCATAACATACGTTCAGGGTGCACACACGTGCTCACAGCATAGACACACATTAACATGACGTGTTTGTGGCACACGTGTTCACAATGCATTGCACATGTCATCAGCACGGACACACGCATGTTCATAGTGCACGCGGATGCCAGCAGCTCCTGGTCCCTGCTGGTCCTGGGTTCCAAGCCCATCGCGCAGCAGTGTGGAACAGCACCATGCAGGAGACAGCACGGAGCAAACCCCAATTAACATCAAAAAGTCCACACAGGACGTGTCCACGTGACAGGGCGGACACGCCACAGCAGACACTGCAGGGCGAGCCCTGGACGCACCTGTGACCACAGCGCCCGGGGAATGGATGCAGTGCTGGGGCAGCCACGACCGCCAAGCTTCTTCCATCTGCCCGCTCCACACCCTCAACTGGCGAGGGTGAGGGAGTGGCACGAGGTGTCAGAGCAATGGCAGAAGCCTGAGACACCCAGCATGGCCACACTGGCCCTGGGGGCGCACCACGAAGCAGTGCCTTCCCTCGCATGACGCTGCCTCCCTGGGTTGACGTAATAAAAAGATGCCATGTGCGCTCAGGAACAGCTGGTGGTCCCTGTTGTCCCTCCCCTACCCCCCTGCACCTGCCCGCTCCCCCACGGGGCCCTGGGGGCTGCCTTGCTTTGTCCCTTCATGGCGTCCAGAGATGCTCCCCACCCCCAGGGAGGGACAGGCCCCCACCCTGATCTCATTCCCCCAGGGCTCTCCCTCACCCAGCCTGGGCCCCACCAGCCACCCTTCCGTACGCTGCTCCCTGTGGGCTCACCGTCTGGTTTTAGCCCGTCCAACCCGGGCAGGGATGGCCGGGGGAGGGTGGGCAGGTGGCCCTTGGCCTCCTGAGAGGTTGCCCACGCTGCCCAGGTTCCATGGGACTCTCCACAGGGGGCCCTAGGCTGCCAGCTTCCAGGAGGTACCCCACGGCGTTGTCACAGCGATGGGTAACTGACAAGGCAGCCCAGGCTGGAGCCCCTGCATGGTGCTCTGCCCAGGCAGCCGGGTCTGATCTGGCCTGGCCTCCCAGCGCTCTGCCCAGACTGGTTCTGATTGCTTCTTGGCTGCTGGGCAGGGAGCAGGTTGGCCGGGCCCACGGCGATGCTGGCTCTTCTCAACCTTGTAGCCTCCTCACCTCCTCCCCTCGGTCAGACCATCCAGTAAGACCCCAGATGCTGTCCCATCCCCGCCAGCTGCCACCCTGCCCATACGGGGCCCAGCACAGCCCTGCACGCAGCCCTGGCCAGCTGCAGGTCCATGAGCTACTCCACCCGAGTTCCTATCAACAGCCTTTGCTCTGGGGCCAGGCCTGCCATGTGACTTTGGGCATGACATGGGGGATCCCTCTTGGACACCCCACCCTAGGATTGGCCATCAGTGGCCTCTTTGCTACCTCTGGACCCTGAGGAGTACCCGGGCAGGGAGGCACTGCAGAGCCAGACCCGCCTGCGGGGCCCTCACTGTTGGGGCGCCTCCCCCTTGCTGGAGTCTGGGCTGTGGCTCCTCTCCCTCCCCCTCCGGCAGCGTCACCTGTGGCTGCGGCCGTGACCCCGGCACGCCTGCACATCTGCTAGAGGCCTCACCTACCTGCAGCTGCTCGACCTGGAGCAGCCCCGTGCGAGGCGGCCGCCCCCGGCCCAGCACAGGGCTCCCCACACTGGACACCCTGCTGTCCTCCCGTCTCCAGCCAGGCTCACTCTCCCCAGTCTTCTCCGCGTCTCACCGGACACTCCCCCCAGCAGCCTGGCCACCACCGGCCCAGTCCACGGGCAGCACAGCCTTCCCACTGGCACTGACCCAGGCCACACCTGCCCCTGCCCAGGCCTTCCAGCATCCCCAGGGCCTGGCCAGCTCCCCATGGCCACATGGAAACCACCAGGGCGCTGCAAGGAAGGCCCAGACCCTGCTCACTCGTGGTTCTGCAAGCTGAGGTGCCGGCCTGGCAGCCATCCATGGGCCAGCAGATGGAGACCTGGGAGCCGGCAGCGAAGCCACCAGGCCCCATGCAGGCCCAAGAGCAGCTTCTCATGAGACCTACCTCCTGGGTGCCACACAGAAGCAAGACGCATCCCTGGACCCCTGGGCTCCAACAGGGGAGACGCAGGGTCACCAGGCAGGAGTTGAGCTGGCCCAGGGGGCACTCTGGGGCAGAGCTGTCCCTGCTCACGGGGGCTGCGCCCCGCCCGTCCCTCCCTCCTCGCTGTGGGCGGTGGGCAGGGCTGCTGGGGCTGGCCTGGGAGAGGTTCCCCAGGGGCCCCTGAGACTTGGGCCCCAGGTTGCTGGGCGCTCACGTGGGCACCCGTCCACCCGGAATCTCAACAGGCTATGGAGGGCAGAGGCGGTGAGCGGCCGAGTGCAGAGAGGAACCCGGGCCTTGTGGGGGGCTGTTGAGGGGTTCTAGGCGGCTGTCTGGGGTCTCTCCCTCCAGTGGGGCTCTGGCGGATCCCCCAGCAGCTCAGGCTCACACCCGCCATGCATGTTGGTCACCAGCTGGCCTCACACATGGACTGTGCACACGCCGGGACGCCCCCCCCCCCGAGCTCTGAGCTAACGCCTCCAAGCTCAGCCCCAGCCAGGAACCCCGCGTCGTCCCTGAACCCCAGAAAATGAAAAGCAAACGACACAGAGAAATTTTCCTTTGCAGTTTTTTTTTTTTTAAAGTAGACACCGTCAGTTTTTCTGTCTCATTTTACAGCAAAGGTTGCAAATATAGAAATATTTTCCGGTACAAGGAATGACTGAGGGCAGCGCGGAGTGAGAACCGGGCTGCCGTCCCCCCACCCCGACCGCGCCCCTCCGCGGCCTCTGGTGACCTCCAGGGCACGCTCCAACCTCTGCTTTAGTTAAAAGAGCTTGATTTCATTTTTTCTTTAAAAAAAAAAGGAAAAGGACTCAAGAAGAACAAAATAAAAATAGAAGTCCCTGCCCCCACCCCCCATCCCTAAGACACAGTTTACCGAAGTCCCTGGTGTGTGTGTGTGTGTGTGTGTGTGTGTGTGTGTGTGTCCGCACGTGCGTCCTGCGTACAGGCCCCCGCGTCCCTGCCGTGTGTGCATGTCTGTGTGTGTCCGTGGGACACACGCGTGTGCTCTGAGGTGCCCTCCCCCCTCGGGCCCTGCGTGACCGCCGTGGCACAGGCCGGTCAGCGCGCGCGGGCACCTGAAAGAGCCATGACCACGCTCGCCGTGTCCCTGCCTGCCTGCTGTGCGTGCTGATGCGTGCATGCGTGTCTGGCTGCGTGTGTGTACACAGGCTGGCCCGCAAACACGGACACCCCGAGGTGCCATGGTTACACCCCCGGCCCGGTGTCCCTGCCTTAAGTCCCTCCCGCCCGTGCACACAGGCCAGGCCCTGGGCACGTGGGCGCTCTGAAGCGCCCATGACTGGACCCTGGGCACGCAGGCCGGGCCCCGGGCGTTTCAAGGTGCCTGTGGTCGGGCCCCGGGCACGCGGGCGCTCCCAGGTGCCCATGGCTGGGCCCTGGGCACACGGGCGCTCCTGGGCAAGCAGGCGCTCCGAGGCGCCCGTAGTTGGGCCCTGGGCGCGCGGGCGCTCCGAAGTGCCCATGGCTGGACCCTGGGCACGCAGGCCGGGCCCCAGGCGTTCCGAGGTGCCCGTGGTCGGGCCCTGGGCACGCAGGCGCTCCGAGGCGCCCGTAGTCGGACCCTGGGCACGCGGGCGCTCCGAAGTGCCCATGGCTGGACCCTGGGCACACGGGCGCTCCTGGGCAAGCAGGCGCTCCGAGGTGCCCGTGGTTGGGCCCTGGGCACGCAGGCGCTCCGAGGCGCCCGTAGTCGGACCCTGGGCACGCGGGCGCTCCGAAGTGCCCATGGCTGGACCCTGGGCACGCAGGCCGGGCCCCGGGCGCTCCGAAGCGCCCATGGCTGGACCCTGGGCACGCAGGCGCTCCGAGGCGCCCGTAGTCGGACCCTGGGCACGTGGGCGCTCTGAAGCGCCCATGGCTGGACCCTGGGCACGCAGGCCGGGCCCGGGCACCCGTGGCGGGGGTGGCCGGGGAGCCGCGGGGGGCCCGTGGACAGCCCGGGGTTCGGGCGCGCTCAGGACTTGTGCTGGGCCGACACGCCCTTCCAGTAGTCCAGGATGTCGTGCAGGTCCTCGTCCCTGGCGAACTGCACCTTCTTGCGCAGCGCGTGGCCGGCCGCCAGGAACTCGCCGCGCTCCTTGTGGCGGCGCCGGCTGAGTCTGAGGCGCTCCCATATGGTCTGCGCCGCCCGGCCGGCGTACTCGGGGCTGGAGGAGTAGCTGAGGCTGTGGTACTGCGGCGACAGCGGCGAGTAGGCCAGCTCGCGCGGCCGCGGCCGGGTCAGCGGCTCCAGGATGGACGCCTTGCGGCCCGCCAGGCTCTCGGGGCGCGGCGGCGGCGGCGGCTCGGCGGGGTGCGGGCCGGGGTACGAGTGCCGGTGCCCGCCGTGCGGCCGGCCCTTCTCGGCCTCGGCGCGCAGCGCGGCGGCCGCGGGCGTCACGGTGAGGATGGCCGCGTCGGCCGCCGCCCCCGGGGAGCCCTTCTCCGCGTACTTGGCCTCGGCGGCGTCGGCGCGGAAGGCGCGGGGGCTGCGCGCGGAGCTGGCGGCCGAGGCGCTGCCCCGCGGGGGCCCGGGCGCGCCGTCGCCGTGGAGCCGCTGCAGGCCCGCGTGGCCGAAGGCCTCCTGGTACACGGGCGCCAGGAAGCCGCCGTGCTTGGCGGCCAGCGGCTCGGCCAGCAGCAGCGGCGGCGGCTCGGCGGCCTTGCCCTGGAAGGCCGTGGCCTCGGACTTGAGCGCGTCGATGCAGTTGTTGATGATCTGGTTGACCTTGTCCACCTCCTTGGCGATGGTGGAGATCTCGGCCACGGAGCTCTGGCTCTCGGCGCCCGGCCGGCCCGGCTCGCAGTCCCTGCGCACCTCCATGTAGTTGCCCTTGCTGACCTTGGGCGCGTCGCCGCTGTCGGCCAGCTTGTACTGCTCGGCCTCGCCACCGCCGGGCGCCACGGGCAGGTACGGGATGCGGGTCACCGCCTCCGGGCCCAGCAGCGGGCCCTGGGGCAGCGGGGCCAGGCCGGGCGCCTCCCTCTCGGGCCCATACTTGAGTTCGATGATGGTCTTTTTGAGGCTGCCCGCCGCCGCCGCCGCGGCCACCGCCTTCTTGTGCTGGGCCTCGGGCCGCCGGCGCCTGCGCAGGCAGCAGTAGACGGCGCCCAGCACCAGCACCATGCCGAACAGGCAGCCCAGGATGGTCATGATGTAGTGGGTGGCTGTGGAGGGGCTGGGCCCGGGGCCCGGCGCGGGGCCGGGCGGCTTGGGCAGGCCCAGGGTGACGCAGGTGTGGTTGTGCTGCAGGCCGGAGCTGGTGGACACCACGCAGTAGGTGTAGTTGGTGAGCGCGTGCAGGTTGGCCAGGCGGATGTCCTCGTGCGCCCTGGTCAGCCTGGCCACGGTGGACGCCTTGCTGCGGTTGAAGAGCGCCAGCGTGTACACGCGGTTGAAGGGGCTGGGCAGCTGCACGGTGAGGGTGGCCGAGGTGGCCGTCAGCTGCTTCACCTTGAGCAGCGGCCGGGCCTCGGGCTGGGGGGCCAGCGTGGGCAGGGCCACCAGCGGCGTGGTGCCGCCGGGACCGCCGCCCCCGTCGCCGGAGAAGCAGTCGTCCTCGGGGCAGGGCGGGTCGCTGGGCTCGGGCAGCGGGGGCGGCGGGGGCGGCGGCGGCGGGGCCAGGCGGGGTCCCCCGGGGCCGGCGCCCTCGGGCACGTGGGGGTCCTCGGTGCACACGGACTGCAGCTTGCGCAGGATGCTGCGCTGCCCCTGCTGGCCCTGGCCCAGCAGGAAGTAGCCCGAGTAGACGGGAGGCGACTCGCACTGCATGCGGTCGTAGGCCTGCGTGGCGTTGCTGAAGACGGCCAGCCAGCGCAGGAAGGCCAGCAGCTGGCAGGAGCAGTAGAAGGGATTGCTGTAGAGCTCACACACCGAGAGGCGGGCCAGCCCGGCGAAGGTGGCGCCGCTGAGCTGCTGGATGCGGTTCATGGACAGGTCGATGTTGACCACGTTGGGGCACTCCCAGAAGGCGCTGGCCATGACCACCTCGATGAGGTTGGCCTGCAGGTAGAGGTATTCGAGCTTGCCCAGCCCCCGCAGCATGCCTTCCGTGAGGTTGCGCAGCCGGTTGTAGCCGAGCTGCAGCACCTGCAGGTTGAACTGGCCGGCGAAAGCCCCATCCTCCACGAAGCCGATCTCGTTCTTGGTGAGGTTGAGGTACGTGAGGTTGCCGAAGCGGCTGAGCGCCGCGTAGTGCACGCTGCGGATGCGGTTCTCGTTGAGCCGCAGGTCCACGATGGTGCTGTTGATGTGCTGCGGGATCGCCTCGTACGGGGGCTGGTTCTGGCTGCAGATGGCCAGCCACACGAAGCCCTTGTCGCCCTCGATGAGCCAGCAGTCCCCGCGCGCCAGCCCGCCCCGCTGCAGCAGGGCTGCGGCCACCGCACACGCCCACAGCACGGCCCACCCACGCCCTGCCATCGGGCCTGCCCGGGGGCACCAGCGAAGGGGCCTGGACAGGAGGGCAGGGGGCAGAGGAGCTGTCACACTCAGGGGCGCCCCGTGCCGGGCCGCATGGCCACGCTGCCCTCACCTCCCGCCACCACTCCTATTCCGTCACCGTGCTGCAGCACCCATCGCGGGCTTCCCCATGGGCCCGGGCGTCCTGGCAGCTCCGAGGTCCCGGCTGGAAGACAAGAGGGAAGACAAGGGTTACGGGTGCAGGGGGAGGTGGGCCCGTCACGGGTGTGCGCCCACATCCAGGGATGCAGGGGGAGGTGGCCCCGTCACGGGTGTGCGCCCACGTCCACAGGTGCAGAGGGAGGTGGGCCCGTCACGAGTGTGCGCCCACGTCCACAGGTGCAGAGGGAGGTGGGCCCGTCACGGGTGTGCGCCCACGTCCACAGGTGCAGAGGGAGGTGGGCCCGTCACGGGTGTGCGCCCACGTCCACAGGTGCAGAGGGAGGTGGGCCCGTCACGGGTGTGCGCCCACGTCCACAGGTGCAGAGGGAGGTGGGCCCGTCACGGGTGTGCGCCCACGTCCACAGGTGCAGAGGGAGGTGGGCCCGTCACGGGTGTGCGCCCACGTCCACAGGTGCAGAGGGAGGTGGCCGCGTCATGGGTGTGCGCCCACGTCCACAGGTGCAGAGGGAGGTGGGCCCGTCACGGGTGTGCGCCCACGTCCACAGGTGCAGAGGGAGGTGGGCCCGTCACGGGTGTGCGCCCACGTCCACAGGTGCAGAGGGAGGTGGGCCCGTCACGGGTGTGCGCCCACATCCAGGGATGCAGGGGGAGGTGGCCCCGTCACGGGTGTGCGCCCACGTCCACAGGTGCAGGGGAGGTGGGCCCGTCACGGGTGTGCGCCCACGTCCACAGGTGCAGGGGAGGTGGGCCCGTCACGGGTGTGCGCCCACGTCCACAGGTGCAGGGGAGGTGGGCCCGTCACGGGTGTGCGCCCACGTCCACAGGTGCAGGGGAGGTGGGCCCCGTCATGGGTGTGCGCCCACGTCCAGGGATGCAGGGGGAGGTGGGGGTTGAGACCCTGGTCATAGCATGTGTCCACGCCCGTGGGTGCAGGGGGATGTAGGGTGGTGGGGGATGGGACCCTGGTCAGTGTGTCCATGCCCATGGGTGTAGGGGAGGCAGCGCTGGCCCCAGTCATGGGTGTGCGCCCACGTCCAGACCCACAGGTGCAAGGGGACCACTATCCTTGTGGCCACCACTGAGGTCCCACGAAGACCGGTCTTCCCAAGGCTGGGTAGGGAAACTGAGCTAGGGATGAGGCGCCTGCCCCAGCCAGGACCACCGTGTCGCCTCAACAGCCACGTGTGGGGTTTGCTGTCTGCTCCCAGAGCCACCTGCAGGGGGCGCCCCAGCACCGGTCAGCGTCCTGGGTGGCCAGCTCCAGGGAGGCTTCTGTGCCTGAGCTGTCCTGTGGGGTGCCCCGGGCGCACCCTGACCCCACAAACCCAGGGCTCAGCAGCCTGGCCTCGTGGTCCAAGCCTGGGAAGAGGCCAGGGTCCCTGGGGTCTGCAGGAGGATGCCTCTGTCCCTCCAGCCCCCAGATGACCCATGGAGCCTGCAGCCCTGCCGCCCATCGCCCTGATTTACCGCCGGCCTCGCAGCACCCAGGGCCTGGCAGCCGGCCCCACGCGGGTCGCTGGTGCTAACGCCCCCTCGCTGCTCGCGCGTGGGGACTCGACACGGATTGCCCATTTTCTGAGGCTTACAGAGAACAGGAATTTCATTCTGGCTTGGATGGGGGTCTGCGGGGATGGGAGACACACACAGAGCTGGGGTCCAGCCTGAGGGCGGCCATGAGCCCTGTCGCCCACCTTGCCTGCCCACCCCTGCCCGCGGGAGCCAGCGGGTACAGACATGGCTCTTGTCCCTAGAGCCCAGGGCCCGGCCAGCCAGGCAGGGCAGAGGCAGCCAGGGCTGGCTGGGGTCCAGCTCTGGCCTCGAGGCGGGGTGCCCTTAATCACCTGTAATCTTTGGCTCAAAATAACCCCAAGGAGGCTTACAGGTCCCAGGAGCCTCTGTGGCAGGCGCCCGCAGCCGCCCCCTGCCCTCACAGGCATACCCACCCTCCACACACCTGCCACGCGCTCTGCCTGGCTGCCCGGGACTCCCTGCTCCAGCCCTGAACTGGCCACCACCCGAGCTGCAGGGCTCAGGGGCTGCGGTGGCCGTCGGGGAGGCCCGCGGTGGAGCCCAGAAGCAGGCTGGGTAGTGGACCAGCAGGGGCTATGGCCGCCTCCGGGCTGCTCAAGGCCACTGCAGACGGCGGGTCCTGGGTGGGGACCCCGAGCTCCCAGCTCTGGGTGACACAGTCTGACATTCCGGCTCACCTCAGGGCTGGGGCGGCGGCAGCCCACCGTGCCCCCCACCCCTGGCCCAGAGGGCTCCAAGCTGAATCCCCGGGCCCACCTCCTCCTGCTGCGGCTCTGGGGGGTCAGCCAAGGTCCAACACTGACACCAGGAACGCCTCCCTGGGCACCTTTCAAAATTAAAACCATGATGCCCGGCTAGGCCTGGTGGAGGCAGGGAGGGAAAGCTGTGGGTGCTGGAGGGATGTGGGGTAGCACTGCCCGGGTGCCACTCTCCCAGGATGGGGCCTCCTCCCACGGACAGCCCGTGCCAGGCAGCGGGCTCCAAGGCCGAGGCGGGCCTGCTGCGGCCACTGTACCCTCACAGCCACAAGCCCCATCTCCAGTCCTCCCCGCTGCCCTGCAGGCACCGTGTGGTCACTGCCTGGTCTGGCCAGGTCGGGAAGGCCCAGGCCAGCCTCAGCCAGCACCAAGGCTGTGTCCCTAGAGACGCCAGGGACAGGGCAAGGCAGCGCCAGGCCCTTCCTCTGCCCAGGGCTTGGGCCCTCAGGCCCACCATCGCCACAGCCACACTGGGAGCCCGAGAGACAGTGTCCTCTGGCCAGCTGCTCCGAGACCTGTCCCCCACCTCACCTCCAATTCTCAGAATTTCTCTGCATCAAGAAACACAGGGCTTATGACACCCCAAAACTGTCCCAGGGCCTATGACACCCCAAAACTGTCCATTCCAGTCTCTGGGAAAGTGGGGCTCTGCCCATGGCCACTTCCCCAGGCCCCCGCACCCCACAGTCACCCCAGCAGCAGCTCCACCCAGCCGTGGTCCCGCTGGCCTCCCGCCCCCAGCCTGGCTGACCAGCACGGCTTCTGCTGGCTTGGCCAAGGGGCTGTTTGTTCTGCCTGCAATAGTGGCCGCCGAACCCCCGCCGTCACCCCTCGTTCTGCAGCCTCAGCTGGGACCCCAGGGCTGCCCACGTCCCGTCCTAGACCAGGCGTGGTCCCTCCCAGGCGCAGCCCAGGGCCGTAACCACACTCGTGGTCTCTCCAACCCAGGAGATTCTCCAGCGGGCAGCACCACGACATGCCCTCCTCAGGGAGTGTCCCGTGGACACTCCTCAGTGTGGCTGGCACCCCCCTCCTCCATGCAGCCCCATGAGCCTCTGTCCAGCTGGAAGGACTCTGTCCCCGTCATTTCTCGATTTCCTGGCCTTGCTGCTGCCCAACCAAACCCTGAAACTCCTCGCTGCCCAGAGCCAAGTGCCAAGGGGCCGACAGGAAGCCACAGCTGAGCCCAGACACGCGGCCATGATGCCTCACTCACCTCCCGTTCCCAGGCAAGCAGGGGAGGGGCTGGGAGAGGAGTCTGCGGGTAGCACTGCATAGAGGGACAGGCAGGGGTGGGGGGTCGCCGTGGAGCCCAGAGGGGTCTGCGTCCAGGAACATCCAGCCTCTTGCACTCCTACAGGGTGTGGGGTTTGGCTCAGGCGCCCTGACCCCTGCCCTCCCGTGGGAGCCGGGTGGAGCGCCTGGCTCGCAGCTCCGGCCTGTGGGCATGTGAGCAGTGAGCCGGCAGGAAAGCTGCAGAAACAGGGCTCCAGGCAGCTGGGCAGGGAGGGACACGTGGGCAGGAGGGCCCCTGGGCCCCAGCTCGTGACTCAGAAAGGGGAGGGCAGGGTCAGCTGAGCCTGGGTGCCCCGGGAGACCCCCTCAGCCCAGCAGCCGCAGCCCCTCCTCCCCCGTGACCTGGTCAGGATGGGATGACAGTCTCTGGCTGCTGCCTCTGTCCCGGGCAGGGGGTGTCCCTGCCGGGAGCTCCAGGCTCAGCTTGCAGACCAGGCGGAACACGAGCAGGGCCAGCCCCAGGACAGCTCCAGGTCAGCAACCAGGTCCTGGCTGTCAGAGCTGGGAGAGCGGTGCTCAGGCTGCGTGCTCGCCCATCCACCCTTCACGCACTCATCCCATTCCACAGCCAGAAAAACCGAGACTACTCGGAGGGCATTGCCTCACGGGGCCACACGGCTGTGCCACGCACACGGCCACAGGTGTGTGCAGTGCGAGGGAGGTGGGTCCTTCAGGACTTGTGGGTCTTGAGGGTTGGGGCTCCACAGCAGGTGCCCTGGAGGAAGCTGTCACAGAGGCAAGGCGCGTGTGTGTGTGTGTGTGTGTGTGTGTGTGTGTGTGTGTGCACGGACGCTGAGCAGATGTAATTACCTAAAATTGTGGGTTAGAGGCGGATGTGAATAACCAAAAAATATGTGGGGAAGTGGGGGGAGGCGAGCCAATTAGAGCTAATTACTTCTCAGCTAATTCAGATAACAAGCAGGCCACATTTGAATATGCTAATGAGGCCGAGCACGCATGCTCCCCCAGGCACCCTGCCCAGTTTACTGCCCCCTGCTCTGCCCACAGCCAGCCCCAGGACCCGTGCCCAGCGAGGAGGCAGGACTGAGTGCCCGTGGTACAGCCAAGCCCGTGTGGCACACAGCCCGAGTTACACATGCAGGAACAGGCCCAGCTCCACCTGTGAGCCACGGCCCCTCTGCAGGGAGCCGGTGGGCACCAAGTGTCCCCACGGCCAGCACCAGGCCCTCACCCAGAGCTCCCCGCTCTGCACAGTGAGTGCACATGGGAACACACATGTGGACACATATGTAC